ATATATATTAGTTACAGAGATAAAAATCAAACTCTTAGCCGGAGGTGCACTTCAGGTCGCTTTTGTATCATACATTCAATTAGACCGACTTCATTTGATTTATTACATTTCTTGTTAATAAAATTATCTACTGACAAAATTAGACGAAATTAAACCTTGTGACGTGGGTCAATGATCAGTATCGGCAAATTTGTCTTCGAAAATGGTTCAATCCAATAAACAGAGACATTGTGTAAATGAATAATTTGAGATCACTATCAAGTCTCTACAGCCAGTATGTGTAGGGATATGCATATGCATTGAAACATGTCAAAGGTCAGAACAGCATTTCCAGTCATTTTTAGTAAACTGTTTTATTATTCCAAATAGAAACACGAATGTTTCAAACAAATTGGTACCAAAATTAACTCTCTACCACTAGTGGTTGTAGAGTATGAGGATTCTGTGGCTATGACCTTAAAACATGTCGAAGGTCGGAAACGGCTTTTCCGGTCGTATTTTAGTAAAATGTTCGGTTAGAGCAAATAGAAACATGAGTATTCCGAACAAATTGGCACCAAAATTAACTCTCTACCTCCAGTGGTTGTGGAGATAATAAGGACTCATAAACTATGACATTTGAAACAAGTCAAAGGTCAAAAACAGCATTTCCGGTCATTTTCTACCAACTTTTCTATTAGACTAAATAGAAACATTAATGTTCCGAATATATTGACACCACAATTAACTGTTTACCACCAGTGGTTGCGGAGATATTATGACCCTATTGCTATGACCTTGAAACGTGTCAAAAGTTAGAAACAGCATTTCCGGTCATTTTATAGCAAAATGTTCCACCAGTGGTTGCGGAGATATGACGACCGTATAGCTATGACATTTGACCCTGACCTTTTGACCTTTTGCCACATTTTGAAAATGTGTTACCAATCCAAAAATGTTTCTTGGACCACCCTAAACCAATTTCTGAAGTCAAATTCTCTGGACCTCAAAGTGCATACAAAACCTGATCTGGCTACTAGGGTAACTATGTTCATGATCGATAAAAATAATATAGGCCCGGGCTACTGTATCAGCAATACAATACAATTATTTTTCTTAATACAGTTTAGAAGTGGGGGCGCCACCTGTATGAACTTTGAGTTGCATGAATTTGATTTGAGCAATTATTTAATTTGTGATATAGCATAAATGTATATCCTGTTAAAGAAAAAGTGACCAGTAGGTTCAGGCGCAGAGCACGGGGGCGCGTGTCCCCCACCCCTCCTCCCGTTACGTTTTGCCACTAATTTTTAATATTTCAATGCATATATTGAAATTAAATCTAGGCCTACTCAATTATCTATTTTAAAAATTGAAAAATTCTGGATACGCCAAGGCTTGGAAAGAAATATATATATTTTTTTAAATTATTATTATTATTATTATTATTATTATTAGGGCCTACTTTGTATTTTTTTTTTTTGAATCCGGATTTACATATGCGCCTATCACAAACCGAAGAATATACAAGGCGCTGGCGTCAGTATAGGCCCTATTCCTGGTCACTTTCAATGCCACACCATCCAGGTACCGATTTATACTCCTGGGAGGCAAACGTGAGTTTTGGGCTCTCGTGACTCCCCACATTCTGTCACATTTAAAAACTAAACTTATAACTTATAATACATGAGCCTATCTAAGTCTTTCTATCATTGACTATTGCAGTGTAATGGGGTGTAAATAATCCACTAACCTATCTGACATATATCAATCCCTTTTAAGAATCAGGGGCGGATTTATGAGATATCAGCCCCCCTCCCCCAGTAGATCCAGAAATTTGAAATAGAGGGGCCCGGGAGGGATTCTCAGCCCTATGATTGGCGCTAAGTTTATAAGAACATTATCTTATGATTATGCACCTCTATCTAGATGGCCGGAAATGACACTCCCATACTTGAATTTGAATATAATTTTCTTTTTCTCTCCACTTTTTTTGTTATAATAAATATTTAAAAAAAATGAGGGTAGGTAGATGGAGGCGGCTAGGTCCACTTAGAACCCGCCTCTGTTATCTCTCATGGTTTCAAATGGCATTCCAAATAACCACTCTTTACAAGTCTTGTATATCAGTAAACTGTCCATCTTATACTTGGGCACTGTCTCATCGTCACTCACTCTCCATTTCATTCAATTAAAGTTAAGACTATCCTCCCTGCTTTGGCATTTATGTTGACAAGGGGTGATGGTCCATTGTATCATTCCCCCCAATATTTTGACTATGTATGGGATAAAATGGAGCTTTACACACTTCAAAAGACTGTCACAGAAATAATTTGCACTGTCTGATGCGCTTACAAAGATGAAAATTAGCATAATGTATTAATGTTCATAAAATTATTTCATCTGGTACCAATCTAAGTTCTTCTTTCCTTAGATGTTAGTGTGCTTGCAAAGAGAGCCACATTTCACACTGAAGGGTGTGTACGACATCAGTAATGTTATGTCAATTCCAAGAGTTTAAGGTTATATCGGTTGATGAGGAATTTATTAATTAGGCCTATTATAGCAAATTGCATCAATTTATTTTGCAAAAACAAGGTTTCCAGCTTCAGAGGGAGGGAGGGCACATCCCCGTCCGCACAAGGGCACACATTGGCGCTAACCACCAGGCGCGTAACAGGGGTCTTGGGTCAGAGTGGGTATTTATTTTCCCGGTTAGTAATTTACCATACCCATCCCACCCCACTCCCAATATAGAAAACAATACGACATAGGGCTTAGGCCTATCTTATTCATAATATAGGCCACACACGTGTGTTTGAAACTAAATATAAGCATTTTCATCATGGTTTTATTTATTACAAACATATTCTTTCACTATCAATACACATTGAGGCCCTTCTTTTAGGTTAAAACGATCTATCTTAAATTTGTCTTTCTTGAGTTTGGGACTATTATGTGTTTAAATAACTTAAAAGGATAAACCTTAAAAAGCCTTAAAAAATCCGCGCGAAGCGGGAAAAATATTTTTGTGTTTTTAATTCTAATTTCGTTGGAATTGATGAAAACTCCCTAAAATGTGCAATTTATAGAAGAAATTGGCCTACCACAATAAGAAATGCGCGTAAAGAATTTGAGAATTTTAGACACTTTCAGAGGATGCATTTGTCAAGGGGTGGGGAAAGATTTTCCAAAGATGGATATTTTCTCCTTGTCCCCCGGTGTTTTTAATTCTAATTTCGTTGGAATTGATCAAAACTCCCTAAAATGTGCAATTTTTAGAGGAAATTGGCCTATTTCAACAAGAAATGCGCGCGAAGCGCACGAAATTTGAGGTTTTTAGGCACTTTCAGGGGATGAAAAGGGCATTTATAAAGGGGTGGGAAAGATTTTCCAAAGATAGATATTTTCTCCTTGTCCCCCAGTGGTTACGACATCGGGCAGCATAGATCAACGGAGTTATGACAGTTTTTGAAGTGGAGAAGGGGTTGCAGAGTGTTGCGAGTCTGGTAATCATGATATCTTCCTTCTTATTCTTGTCTTTACTTTTCTCTTCTCTTTTTCTGTTCCTTTCCTTTTGTTTTCCTCTTCTTTCTCTTTTCCCTCCCTCTCCCCTCTTTCTTTTCTCTTATTACCCAGCCCGGTACGACGGCTTGGTCAGCCCGGTAAAACCGTCAGGAGAGGGGCAGTTCCCTCCCCCACCCCCGCGCGCCTGTTACGACACTGGCTAACACGCCAATCATCCCCACTAATGAAAAATAAAACCAATAAAAGATAATGTTATTGTCTGAAAAACCCAGAAATTATATCCCACTGGCAGTGTTACAAGAGTTAACAACATATACAGCAACATAATACATATTCATGTATGGAAAGTATAATCTTACTGAAACGAATTGAATACCTCTTTTCCAAAATAATAATAATAGGCCTAATAATAATTAAATTCTATTCAATTCAATAGAACTTTATTATCCCACAATGGGGAAGAAACTCATTTGGCCTTGACAGTAAAATCTGCAAACAACAAAAATATACAAATAAATATACAGAATTCCTCAGTTAAAGTCAGACTCCGGAGGAAAAAAAATTGATATGCTAGGCCTGGAAATCTGGACCTTTTTTAAAATGAGGACCCATTCATTCTATGTGGACCCAATAGAAAATGTGTGGGACTGTCCCAACGGTCTAAATAGCTGGCTACGCGCGGCATCATGCTCTCATCTCCCTTCACCAGCATTATTGATCTCCTTCCCTTTTTTAAATGTTTCTGAACACGACATCGTGCAATTGCAATTTTAAGTCCCGTTGTCATGGAATCAGCGGAACAATGTGAAACCATAAGTCATGATTCTTAAAGTGTCTAATACCGTACTATTCATCTTCATCTGGATGGTATATTATTAAGCCTACGTCATGATATTTTACTTTAGTGTTCTTTCGTTGTTTGTTCACCAATGAATGTTTTAGACGAATCAGTCAAGTCGGCTTGACTTAGAACTTTTTTGTACCCAGCAATCCTCATTAATTTCTCACAATTGGTCACATTTTGAATATATTCAACTAATTGCATGGTCATTTTAGTTCTCCAGCTTTCAGCGTTTGCAGAAGAATTCCTCTGAGTCGAAAATAACCAAGACATTCTTCCCGTAGGCCTAGAAAAGTGAGTGTTCTCTTTGATCCACTGTTTGACTTTATAAGGAATTATTTTAATTCCAAGGTTCGTATAAATTTCTCGAATTTTTTCTGACGTTTTTATGGCAACATCTTCATATCTAATAGCGAAATAATTATCACTAAACAATGCCATGTGGTGGCCAATTTCAAGATTTTTTAACCAATCACTACAATATGTGCGTATATTTGTTTTCATATCGCTAGTTAAGTCGGTAACATTAAATACAATTCTCTGTTCTTGCTTCATGCGTTTTCTCACGGTCGGAACCAGCAGCATTCGGGACGATATAACCCCGCGAGGATCACGGATTAAATGAACAACTTTTAGGTTATGCTCTTTTACAAGCGGTCTTAATAAATTAAGGTTACTGATACGGATAGTTTTAATGACGACATATTTCTTGGTGTTACAAACATTCTCCAGTAAATCTCTTGTGACTGGTTGACAGCGAAGAAAATCGCCTATCGAGCCGTTATAACCCTCACAAATTCTGTTGTTAACCGTTGCTGGTATTTCCACTCGTCTAGGATGTATAGGCAAACGTGAAAGCGTTTTAATATAAAAGTCCATATCTGCGAAGCTACATTGAAATGTGTTCCAAATGATGTCAAGTAACTTTCCTTCAATTAAATTAGATGTAATATTTTCACGGCGCAAGTAGACCATCACTCGCCTACCTGGTTCATACAAGTAAAATACGTCGTTGTTTTCGGCAAATAACCGTCCTAGAAATGATGAACCGGTTCTCATAGAAGCTAATATCATGATTTTTGTAGGCCTTTGTTGTTCGCAAATACACCCAGCGTCCAGTGAATTTTTATCGAAACCTCTGCTTCCCTTTCCGATGGAAAACATGTTGAAACTACTGGCATGTTTATATTGTCGGCAACACGTGCTTGCCATAACCTTCCTGACGCCAGTGGACACAGTGATCGTCCTAGTACTGTTAAGACCAATGGTGTGTTTCCCAAGAATAGAGCTGCACAAGTTCACGAATACTACTAATGCTGCAATAAAAACCAACAAACACAACTTCTTCTTAAACGAATGCATGTTCGAGTCGAGAATAACAACAGAAACTTGGAATGATTGCCAAAAAGCATAATTTCCGAGTTGTGATTCAGAGGTCATACAGGTAGCCAAGGGATATCACGGCGGAAAATTCTCATGATGCGGCTTCGTGTTAGTAGGCCTATCTTGTGCTTGTGACGACGTTCACTAAATGTAGGCCTATTGTACTTGATTTTCGTTACACATAAGATTTATTTGAAAAAAAAAAATATTATGAAGCTTTAGTCAATTGACAATAGACCCGGCAATGCATGAAATAATGAATATAACTATCAGGACCGTATAGGTCTCTGTGGTATAATGGTATGACACCCGCATTGATCGCACCATGAGACACTTTTTTCAAACAACTGAAAAAGTAACTTTTCATTGAAGGGCTAGGTTTGATTTGATTATACCATCATTATGTTATTCATCTAGGCCTATTTGTTTATATCATAGAGAATTTATATCA